TAACAAAACTTAAAAAACAAAAGCACAAGTTTCTAACATCATTAAATTATCTTCTTTTTTAGGATATTGAACATATTGATGTTCATAATACGATTGTTGCAAACAATAAAAGTGCACTGTTAGCTGCCAGTGAGGTTTTAAGAAAAAATGGCTATCAATGTCATGTTGTAAACACTTCTGTTATGGAAGACGCTAACTTATTTGGATTTCAACTTGGCAATATCATTAATGCATTGATAGCAGGAAAATCATTTTATCAGGCATTACAATCTGCGAATATGATATCAAATATTGCAGCACCATATGGAGGTGAATACTGATCTATATTGATAGAAATCATAAGAGCTTTATTTTATTTAACTGAATTGTTAAAAAATTTCAATTTTCAGTAAATCCCACTATTTGAGATAAAACTGCTCTGCTATTTGGTGGTGAATGTACGGTAACGGTAAGAGGAAGCGGTAAAGGTGGTCGCAATCAACAAATTGTTCTTGCTGCCCTTTCGAAATTGCTTGAGCAGTCGAATTTCGGACAGGAAAAGGTGGAGTTTGCACTGATGAGTGCTGGTACAGATGGCCAAGATGGACCAACAGATGCAGCTGGAGCTGTTCTAACCAGTAATGATATGCAATACTTTCTTGAAGTGGGATCGCAATGGAAAAAAACAGTGATTGATGAATATATAGATAATAATGATTCTTATAATTTCTGGAAGAAATTCAATAATGGAAAATCGCACATCATTTTCGGACCTACCGGGACAAATGTGATGGATGTTCAAGTATTATTACTCAATACGAAATAAAATTTTAGGAAATCAAAATGTAACATTTAAAAAAAAAAGAATCAAAATTTGAAACAGTTGGAAAATGTCTAACGTTTTAAAGTATGAAGAAAATTCTTTGCTTTTTATTTTGTGTTATGCGCGTATCACACAACACTCACGGATTTTGGTGATAACAATATTTTCTAATTTCCTGATGAGATTCAGTAAAAACAATGAAATTAATTTTGAATTATGGCTTTAAATAAATACTAAGACTGCTTTTACTGCTCCGAGCTGCATGGCCCGGTTGTGGTGAAACATTGTGTTTCGGAAGATGACCACAGTAACAGTCAGGTCTTCCACCTATTTTGCTAAATATGATTTAAATTAGCAGTCTTCTGGAAAGAGTTTCGTAAGCGGGTTAATAATCTGAGCGAAATTAAGCAGTAAAGTCGGTCCTGCACTGCAAAAGTGATCTCCGGTTCGTCTCTCTATTCTAATTTTTATGAAACAGAGATAATATTTTGTACCGATATTTCTTGGGAGGAAGAACGGTATGGAATAAAGAGGAGTGTGTGGGTAGATCCTTAGTCCCACTCAAATATCCATTAATCTTTAAATTGATTTAATGGATCCATTCCTGGATGGTCATTTTGGGTGACGATGACTGGCTGAGTGGTCTAGTGGTATGATTCTCGCTTAGGGTGCGAGAGGTCCCGGGATCGATCCCCGGCTCAGCCCTTCTTTTGTAAAAGTCGTGTTTGTTTCCTGAAATTGTACGGCAAGGTAGTCTTGTCACAATGATCTAAATTAATTAATGAAATGATCTGTGGTTGTTGATAGAAAAATAATAATTTGGTAAAAGCATTTTTGTTTCTCATTAACATGTTTAGGGTATTCGTTTACCACAGATATAAGTAAGAAATCTATTGATTTTAATAAATTCATTAATTTCATCTGACAAATTTTACATTTGCGAAGAATAATATTTTTGTTCGTAGCTTAGTGTTATCATTAAACTAAATTCCAATTTAAGTGAACTAAAGATTTAAGAGTAGCAGTCTTTATTCCTTTTTTTTCAGTTGTAAAGTAATCTTATGACTGCCTTATTAAAATTTCTGGTCTTAGATTTAAGTTATTTTTCTATAGATTAAAGTTGAGAGAGTTGCCATTGCCTAGAGAATGATGCATAATTAAGTTTGAAGATAGAAAACACTGTAAAAGATCTATCTTTGCTTGATATTTAATAAATAAATTAAAGATAAATCAATATTTTTCAAAAACAGTATAAATCCAACCATCCAATTTCTAATTTATGACCTAACGTATTTTGATAAAATCACGAATGAAATGATCTGTGGCTGTTGATAGAAAAATAATAATTTGATAAAAGCAAAGAACAAATAAATTCAGAAAATACGTAGCGGTAAAAATGATAGTGTATTTATTCTTTATATTAAATTCATTGTTCTAAATTGTTTGGTATGTGAGTAATGATAAGCGCAAAAAGAATAACAGTTGTAATATCAGTTACCGCCATTAAATATAACAATGACAAGTAAATAGTAAAATGAAACTAAATTAGTATATTAAAGGAGTAAAGTTTCTTTAGTTCCACCTGGTACTTATTACTAGTACGTATTATCGATTGCTTTTGATAATAAAAGTGGTCTTTGACTTTTGACCTCTTTTTGATTTTATAATGTTTAACTGACTTCATTGAAATTAACCTTTCTATAATATGTAATTGGGTAGTTGGCAGGCGCCTCATTAGCTCAGTGGCAGAGCGTCTGTCTTGTAAACAGAAGGCCGCTGGTTCGATCCCAGCATGAGGCACTTGTATGATCCGGTTGATCATGGCCCGAGGTGCAAGCTTTTCCTATTTTCAAATTGAATGAAAATTATCTAAGCTAAAATGCATGCTTTGCTTTACTGTATTTTATGTTTTAATCTGTTTTATAGTGATTAAATGAACTTTTTCATTTGCTTTAATTTGAATTTCATACAGCTAAATAATATTTCACAAATTTGGTTGAGCTTAAAAATCAAAACATTCCCCCAATGCATTCTTTCATTGTTAGTTCAAAAAAAAAAAAAAATAATAAAACAAAGCTTATTTAGTATTATTTGTTTTATGCTCCTCTCATTGTAATTTTTTCAAATATTGATTCAAAATAAGGTTTGATTGTATTTAGGAGAGAATGCTACTAGCATATTTAGCCCTAATTTAATCAGTGCTAAAACTTGTGTTTTTTTTTCTTTTTTTCTTTTAAGATAAAATCAATTTAAGATTTAACTAAGTCTTGATATGAGTTAAAATTAATCGTTTTGCTCATATTTAATGAAATTTTTGATCATTCGAATTATTAACAAATTTGCTAGAAGATTATGCTTATCATAAATACATGCATGCAATTGGAAATTACTCTATTAGTATATTAATTTTAACTAAAAGGTAAAATTCATAATTTCAACAGTAAGTTACTTGCAGCTGCTACTAATTTACTTATCTACTAATTTGTAGATAGTTTGGGTAGCATATCATTTGAAGAAAAAAAAGTAGACAGGTGAAAAAGGGCATGAAAAAGAATGAGTCATTTTTTAATTGCATATTCTTCCATCAAATGTAATTAATTTAATCTTTCCATCATTAATGCAACAATTAAAATATCATTTGCATTAAAATAATAACATTAAATTCATGAAAGAACCTGAAAATAGCAAGACGATACTTTTATGAAGTAATTTTTTTTTTCTATTCACATATATCATCAAGGATAATTATAGCTATGTGATTTAAAAGTTTCTATGTCATCTGAAAATTTCAGATTTTAATTTCAGTTCTAATTTTGCAAAGTAGGTAACAACAGAAAGATCAATTGGAAAAATGAATGAAATCCGAGTTTTCTTTTTTTAAAGAATAATCTATTTCGTCCATTATTCCTTCAATTCATTTATTGTAAATAAGACAGAAAAGAAGTATACATTTTACTCATATAATTTGATTAGATTGTTTATATTTATAGAAACAAGCATGAATATCAAAGCTTTTAGATCATTTTTATGGGTCTTATAGATCAGGTAGGTAACATTATAAAAGAGATGAAATGATTAAAAAGTTTAAAAAACTAAGCTATTTCTTCTTTTACTTTCAAAACGTAATAAACGTACAATCGAACAGTCAATATATTTAAGTTAGAACTTCTAAAAGAAAAAAAAATGTCATTTTAAAATATAAAATATTAGAAAGAGTTAAATCCTTTCATGAATTAAACCAAACATAATATGAGAACATCCACTTATTCTTACTTTTTTGTTTTTGTTAAAATAAAAATTCTTTTTTTTTTTTAGCTAAAAAGCTGCAGCTACATACGAATTTGACAAAATCTGATTATAAAATTGAGAAAATTAAGGAAATTTTGACGAAAAAAAAATAGGTAAATAAATTTCGAATTTTGTAATTTTTTCAAATAATGATTCAAACGGAGACTTCACTTCATTAAAGTCAAACAATTGTTTCCTGAAACAGGCTCCTTTGATTGAATAACTTCCACCTTTAATGTTATAATGACATAAAAGGAAGGAGAGCAAGAATTTAGACATTTCCGAAACCTCTAGTTCACGAATGCTGTTCAAAGCACCCAGTTATTTGCAAAGCGAAAATCCACAGCATCAAGTGATAGAGAGTAATGAGAAAAAAATTAAGATTTTTGGTGAAAAAAAAGAAAAAAAGAATAAATCCTCAAAGAATTTGGAAAGACACAGACTTTACTCTCATTAAAAGTCAAACAATTCCATCCTAAAAGAAGCTTCTTTGGTTGATTAATTACTAAAACTAAGCAATAGTTTGAATTGAAAGATCCTCATTAGTTCTCACAAATTTTAGAAGAGAATTTTGGAAATACGATTATATTTATTCTCATAGTTTTTGCTTCTTCGGAATTTTTCGTTGATTAATATGAATGAAACCAATTTTGTGAATGTTTATCACTATCTTTCTTCAGGTTGTGTTCTGACCATTTTCATTCATGAAACCATTTTAATTATCAACAAATTTGTTTCAACACAACAGGCACGAAATACTGAAGTAAAGATAATTCGATATGTCTTTTTCACTCAATTTATCTTCGGGTAGTTAAAATAAACTTCATCGGAATGACATATGAGGTAAGAAACAATTTTAAAAATTTTTAAATTTTACAATAAAATTTAACAAATTCCAATCAAAAAATGATCATTTCTGTTCCACTTTAATTGCAGAAAGAATAACACCACCGGTGATAAATTGTTGCATAATCGGATGAGAACGATCTTGTATGATTTGATGACTACGATAAAAAGCATCCACAACGTGTACTTGTACCGCATGCTTTGCTTTCAACCAGTGATATGCGGAATATAGTGGCTGAAGGAGAAAAAATACTTGAATTGACAGAATAAATTTCAAATCCGGAAACAACATTAAGAACTTTGGCGAAGTTTTCAAACTAATAAACAAGTTAGCTGATGAACACTTGCATGCATGTAATACATCAAGCGCATCAAGGATGAACAATAACTAGCATGTCAAGAAATGAAAATTTAATTGTATGAATAAACGAAGGGAGCATTAATGAACATGGATAAAACGAAGAAAACAGCGATTTGCAAGTAATTTACATAATGTTGTCGATAAGAAATAAAGTTACTATAACATTTGTAAACGAATGACTCCCTCAGTTTTTCAGCTGTTATTGAGCGAATTTATTTGGCAAAAAATTATTTACCTCAGCGATTGGACAATAAATAACAATTGTCGATGATAAACGCAAAAATGACCATGTTTTTTCCAGAATTTCCACCGGATTGATATTTTTACTAGCAATAAATAATATTTCAATTTCACCATTTTGCATTAAATGCCAAGCCTGTCTTTGCAAGCGCTGTCTTTCAGCTCTTCTTTCTAGCGAGCTATCAGTAACTGCTGATTCATCCTGAAAAAAATTAAATTTCAAATCTCCGTTTCATATCAAGTAATCCCGAGATAAAAACTTGCCTTCTCGTCATCATCATTATATGCAGTATCCTCATCGTTCTTCTTCTGATACTTTTCTGTTTCTTCATCCTTCTTAAACAAACTTTCTTCTTCATCCACTCCAATTACTGCTTCCTGATTTTTATTGCAGGCTTCCACTGTGACAAATTCTTTTGCATCAAAATTCATAGGTTCTTCAGTTTCCTCCATAGATTTTTCCAACAAACTGGATATGCACAATGGCAAAAATACGGAAGTAATCTGAAAAGTAACTGAAATATCTTGAATCCCGAAAAACTAACCAGTAAACCCGTTCGGAAAACCTTAATTTCCAACAAAGAATTCCGAAACTTACAAATCACAAAAGTAAACCTCTTTATCAAAATCCATACTATCAACACACGGAATCGCTTGTGCTATATTTCCACGATGTAGATGGATACAAGCACCTGACCCACCCAAACGTGTTAACACGGCTGACGTTAGCAAACCCAAACATTGTTCAAAGATAACACAACGTGAACCGTAGTGTATGCCACTAAGAGCCAACAGATGAGATAACAAATCGATTCTGAAAATGAAATATAACTCATATCAATCACTTATGAAGAACACCACCTGCATCCAATGACAAGTAATTTATGGTAATACCACTGCCATGTTTTAATACAGAGTAATCTTTTTCCAATGAAAACGGCGTTATCAACTGTGCACCCTAAGCTTATTCATTATAAATTCTCAGTTAATTATGGCCTAAGTAAAACGAAACCATACCTTAGATGTGCGACTCTTTCAGGATCTTTCTTATAGTAAGATTCAGCGATTAAGCGTAGAGTTGGCTTTAAAAGATAAACGTGATCTGAATGCTTCTTTGCTTTCTTATTGATATATTTGTTTTGTGAATACACCGTGCGTTCGGAAAATGATGCACTACCATCGACCAATTTTGCTATCTATAAATTCTTTTCCGTAAAATCTAACAGTATAGGAAAGAAGATTAAAATGGAGGAGTATAAATATTAAAGTTGGACATACTATATGAATACTATTTTAAATTTGAAACATTCAGCCAAAATAAGCATAAGATAACAAGTGTCAATTTAGGTTTAAAATATTCTTTATCTGCCCATTATTCCAAAAAATAAACTGTTAAAGTCTCGTATAATTTATGCTAATAAATGAATAATTTGAATAAATATTCAATATGCCTGCCAGTGGTTGCCATCCAAGCTTCTGTTTTTTGAGCAAATATTCAATAATGCACTAACATTACCAACTGCTCCGCTGGTACGCCTGTATCTTTCATTTTGATTATTTCATCCTGCGTCACTTTCTGCCTTGTTTGTGCTGCATTATCGCTACTTGCTTCCTCTGCTGATGATCGTCTATTATTCGTTGTGCTACTGATACCATTTAATTTGGATGATGAACTTGTGCCAACTGTATCTGAAAATATTACAGGACTTAAATACACATTAGCAAATTTTGTAATGAATGGGAGGTTTATAGAGAAGTAAACCAAAAAGGCTGCAGTAAATTAAACAATAATAGCAATCCGAAAAATCACTTATCTCCTTATCTATATGTTTTGTTTGAGTTTTTTTTTTGGTTAACTTGGGCAGGTCACTATCCTACTGATTATCCTTATCTGCGAAATTATTTTTTTTTTAAGCATTACTAGCCAAGTGAGGAATAAAATTGTTCTCAAATCTAATACATGGAATGTCATGTAGGATATACCAAAATCGAATGTAGCAGCAATATCCGCAACACTTTCTGGTGTAACACGTGTCAATTTTCCCGCAGAAACCTAAACAGTATGAATTAAAGTATATTAATCAAACGGATATACTATAGTGCACAAACCAGTTCGAGTATTTGAATTTAAAATACCATAACTAATATCACCACTGAAAATTTAGTACTAAAAAAAAATTTAGTACTAATAACTACCCATGAAGTCGGGCAGCACTATTCACCAAAATTACCTCAAACAGTCCGAACGGTTGATCAATTGCGCCATCAATTTCAAATCGTAATTTTTCGATCAAAATTTTAGTTTTCCGCGATATTTTACACACGCGTAAATGTTCACCTCCCATTTTCTGGATAACAACGTGATTCCCAACTCGTATCATTACGACTAGTAAAGTACTGAAATAGTATTAATGATAAACAACGGACATATCTACCTAGTTGATACACATCGAAAGCTTCTTCATGTATTTCCCAATATATTTTTCTTTCCAATTACCTTACTTAAAGTAGGACTACATTTCAAAAGCAGACAAATTCAACCAAAAAGGATGAGTTTTCTCCAGCACTTCAACGAAAGAAGATTGAAATTGAATTATGTCTAAAATATTAACTCAATCCATTCCTGACAAAGTGCACAACTCCCATCCTCACATTTCTTAGAAATGTTTTGAATTTAACACCAAATTGAAATGAAATAGAAGCGCTGTCTCATATTGCCTGGACCCACCATGAAACCATTGTAGCAAGGGAAGAAGCAAACCACACCGCGACACGACACACTTCCTCGGCGTTTGGAAATTTCCACGGAATGACAACCTACGAAAATTATTGGAGACCGTTGAATCACCACAATAACTCCACCCCCACCTTATCATATCAATAGCCACAACTCGCAGAAACCGAACCAAGCCATGCACTACCCTAATGAACCCAAACGGAAATAATTTAAATCTATAAAAGAATGGGAGTGCTTCCATCACTTCTCCATTCATATTCAGGACAGTATACCTCTACAACACCAAGCATTTCACTCGTAAAAGTAAAACCCAGCAGTCAAAGCCGTACTTGTGAAACTACTCATTTATGAACAACTCCTTATCCGTACAATTGATCCTAATTTTACCTTCAAACTATCCTTCTCCTCCTACCTTCTTTCTTTTATGTTTTGCAAATACGCCATGTTTTAACTTTTCAAGCAAGAAATAATAGAGAAAAACAAACAACGGAAAAGAAATAACCTACGAAATGTGTGCTTCCATGAAATGTGAATAATTAATGGCAAACAGCCGTTACATTGTGAATTCTTTTTTACATTTCCTCAGAAGAGAAAAAGCAACGATTTCGTAGTGGGAATAATAACAGCAGGAAATCATAGAAAGTACGATGTGATGCTGACAGTAATGGTTAATGTAACAGCAGTTATATGAATGAATTGATTTGGGACAGGGCAACTTATACACATTGAGTTTTTCAATCAGAAAATAAATGAAACAAGGAAAACACTGAGACCACTGACATGAGTGTAGAAAAAATATAAATATGCTAGCACTGAAGGAAAAACCACCCCGTGAAATAGCTAAACTAATTCAATTTTAAATAACAAAAATATGCCAACTCCGCAATAACTCATTATTCTTTTAATCCCTAGAAATCCGAAAAATCTTGCACTGTTTTATGATTTTAACTTTTCCCAACTATTTCACAGTAGCGCAGCAGCAAATAATGAGCGTCCTCTCAGAAACATACATATCCATGAAACAAACGAATTTACAATACACAATACTTCAGGCTTGTTTTCTTTTACTAATGAAGAAAATTACATACACGTATTTGAGCGTACATGAAACCCCTTCTGTATTTTTCTGGGAAACAAAAAATAAACAAAAATTGGAGCCGACGATTAAAATCAAATCAACACCTAATCCAGCATCAAAATTTGATTAAACTACTATCCAGTTATTCCAACATTGCATGCTTACGCACTTCAACGTTTTAACAGAGCATAAAATCGTCAGCAAAAAGTGACACAAGTTTCACAGAGATTTTTCCAACAACTCACATCAAATTATGACACTATTTTTACAGACATAAGCATCGCAAAGATGTACATAACTTTTTATTTGTACAAAGAAACAAATTTTTTTTTTTTTGGAAATACAAGCAGCTATTCCTCGCAGCAAGCTGTCAAAAAAACGGCCTTAAACTTTACTAACTTTCCAGTCCCTTTTAATTTCAACTTACAAACGTCATGATAGCCATATACCTATACAGCCAAATCATTTTATAATCTAACCCGCAATAACGTTCATTCTTACATAGTGCCAAATAATCATCTCCCCATTCTCACAAAACACATTTTGTATCCTATAAGTTCATCGAATATCTCGAGAAACTTAAAGGTTGCCAGGACATTGGATTGACAAATATAAGAATTTGGGAAAACTTCCTGTCCGACCTAATTCAGGAGAACTAATCATTTAATTTCCTAGAACACTTACGGGAAGACAAAAAAAACTTATAATCTCAAAAATTAAATTTATCAGAACTGGACAACAGAACCCACCTGCAATCTAATACCCCATTCAAACTTGAGGAAAAAGAGGTAAATGCAGGTAGTCAATGAATCTAATACTCATCAATACGAAAGCATGAAAATCAATTAATGACATAATTGACCATTCCATGACATGCAGCAATATCACGGTGGTTATTCGTAACTTTGTTGCTTAAAGTATTTTCTCCAGCCTCCGTTGATTCTGGGTACATTTTTTCCGCAACAACTGCAGGTGTCGTTGCAGCGGTAGCTGCTGAATTTCCTCCGTTTCGGTTAACAGCATTTCCCTCAGCAGGTTTTTCGGCAGCTAACATTGCATTTAAAGGCGATGAAGCACTACCAACACGGCATTTAGCCTGGTGTGATTGCAACTCAATTCCGACCTGCGGAGAACTGAAGGTTTCACGTTCGCGACTGCCACCATTTGTTTTGTTTATTGTACTGCCGCCACCTGTAAGATCTCTTTTTCTCGTCAGAAACGCTGCAAAATGATTTCATAAAAATGGCTTAATACTAACAAAAGAAATCATTGCCTCTGTTCACATATATATTGTAAGTGGTTCCAAACACTGGAAGTGTTACTAAGAGTAAAGATATGTTGCGGACCAACTTAAAACAAGTACAAATTACGTTGCTTGCAACTGAGTCAACATGCATTTAATATGTCGTCTGTTACTGAGGTGCTATGCCTTCTATACCAACATACACCTGGATGAAGACGAACCAAAAACTTTCAGGTTACCAGTACAGTACAAATCAACACCTATTTTCAACCAAAGATGCTTCAACAATCACAAATTAATAAATTTCCTAACTGAATTGCAACTGCTATTTTTGGATTAACTTCAAGAACAAAACTGCCCGACGTCTTAAAAATATCAAATAACCAACGTCTTGCATCAACCTGAGTTCCATTCAGAGGTGGTCGAGCGCTCACTACCGCAACAGGTGTTTGGATTTTTGGCTCAGTCACTCCGAAATAATTCCGTGCTGACTGATTCTGTACTGCCGGTGACATAGCATGCGGTGTTGGTGGTGACATGCTTTCGCTGCCCGGTGAGGAAACATCTGTTACTGGCACATAATAAGCTGCAAAACAAAAATAAACGAATACAACATTCGAATCAAAAATTTGGGTTGAAATATGCACAAAAATGAAATGCAATCCTACCATTCCAGAGTTTGATAATAAACTACTTGACAATACTAAAACCACGTAAATAAATCAGCAGATGTAAACCAACATATTGTTCTTTTACTAATCACAGCCCAAAAACTTTCATGCACGTGAAACCCGAAAAAATCCATTTCAAGGAAAAGAACTTACAAGTAGTCGTAACCACATTAGTGAATGGTACATAACGATGAGTGTCACCAACTACAGGTACATATTGTGGGACAGTATATGCTCTGGTAACCGCTGGCATGACCGCTGCATTACTTAACGCTGTTTTTGTATTCGATAACCCACTTCCCAATAAAAGATCTCGAAGCGTCTTTGTTTCCGGTGGACAGGATTGTAAAAGCGAATGAGCAATCATCGGGGAGGGCTGTAAAATACTGTCAAAGTCAGTAATTTAATTACTAAGGAAACTGTATAGTTCAAAGTAAAAAAATTCTGCTTAACCATATATCAAAACTTTCTTTTGTAAATTTCGGGATTTTAAAGTCATGTTTTCATACACATGCATTTTGTACTATAAATCAGCCAAATTGCCACTGCAATGTAATGTGATAACATTCAACATCGCAATTTCATTCTTAATGCAGACTCCAAAACTTTTTACAACTTCAAATCGTTTAGTATCACTTTTTTTTTGGGCATAAACCAACAAAATACAGATTCTGGCTTCCTTCGAGATAAAATTTGGATTTTCTTGCAAAACGGCTAATTAATTTGCTTAAACAACTTAATAGAATTCACAAAATCTCTTGCATACAAGATAATAATCAGACCTTAATGCGCGCTCCGGAACCTTTTATCGCGAGTTCAAGTCGTTTAGTATCAACGCAATGCGTAGCTTGCGCTACGATATCTGCATGAAAACCAGAAGTATTTAAACGCTGCAGATTCATTTCCGGGCGCGGAAGGGATGACAACTGTGAAACGCTTGAAGAAGCAAACGACCTCCGCCTTCCACCTGCCTACAATAAGGATAAAGAATGGTCATGTCTAATAAATCCCATACACCGAATTCCTCCAGACCCATTTATTTAAGTCATTAAACCGATTCTTGAACTTACTCGTGCCCTAATATTTTGCCCACTTATGATAACTTCCTGAGATGGTACAGCCAAAATTTGTCGTTCCAGATGATCCTGCCTTGGTGGTTGCGTCGTAGTTACAATCAATGTTTGAGCTTGATTCAACATACCAGAACTGTTGACAAATTCAAACGTTCGAGGAGGACGATGTACCGCCTGCTCTCCCGTCGCCAGCAGCCTCGTTGATGGAGGTAGCGGTGGCGGGAGATGCGTGTAAAAAACCGGGGATGATTCGCTAGTTTCGGATGATAACGACATTTGTGACGAAACGCGTAAGGAATGATCATGTACCCGTTTTTGCTGCAAATTTTTTAACAAAGGTAAACCGACTTTTATTCCAGGCATATCTAAATAATCCCTTGGTACAAACTGAAAAAAAAAAAAAAAAGCAATGAAGATGTAGGAAACCCTGATGTTCTTATTAAAGTCATAATTGGCTAAATTTTGTCTACGTAATACTGACAAACCATTTGTTACTTAATATGCTATGATCTACATTGTGTTCCTTATCTTTCTCTTTTTAAACTACTAAAAGATGGGCAATGGTGTCAAGGATTGCTTACTTGATAATTTACAGACGATGCATTCAGTAATGGTGCCACTTTTTCCACTTTCCCAGCAACAGATGCAGTCAGCAAAACGGGCTGGAGGCCGCAGTCACTGACCGATCTTGCACCAACGTTTAATGGCGGCCCATTTTGTTGCAAACTTAAAAGACACAAATCTCATTTCCGATTATGAAAAAACTGAAAATCCATCAATTTTTTGACAAAAACATAAAGCAGTACTCACTTAACAACCCGCAGACGATCTGGTTCCCGAACACCATTGACTGACATGACATTTTGTCCAATACCCGAAGCTGACCCGTCGTTATCTTCACCAAGCACCACTACCTGTTCACCGGTACCTCGTGACGACGTACCATCTCGACCCACCTACAAAATAAAATGACTTATGATTAATACGTATGTGACTAATCAATTCCAATATGAATCTAATCAAATTTCCTAATCAAAGTTTATAATAAAAATCCTTCAGTGTAATTTTAATGAATTTTCAAATCTCATCCTTAATTTGTAAGTACTTACGCCACTTTGAAGTTTCTGTGTGGAACTGGTATCAGATATGTCAAAAATTCGCCTCGCATAAAGCTCTTCTTGCCTCCTGTATTCTCGCTCATCTTCATCATTCCAATTTTTACGATTCTCATCAGAATCCGAAGAATCATCATACTTATCAACATCCACCAGTTTACATTGATAACTCCTAAATATGGAAAATTTACGCTATATACCAAAGTGTAATCAAAAACTCGATTGCACAGTTTTGAGCACTTTATAATTGCATGATTTTTAAATGCTCATAAAATTAAAGTCAAGCATGTTCACGTTAATATTTCGAAAACATTATTACAAGCATTTAAAAAAAAAAAAAAAAAACTAACTTTGTGGTATCGATGACTGAACTGAAAGGTGGATCCGGAGCGGACTGTGACGTTGAAGGAGCAGAAAGCAGAACACGATCGAATATAATTCTAAGAATATTTTTATCAATCATTAGACCTCATCAATTTAAGCTCTACATTTATCTCTACTTATAGAATATGACTCTAGATATTGACGAAGCAGAATGACTCGAATCACCAAATACAAGTTCCAACATGAAAAGCCTGCCGAAAAATACACAAACCTTCCGCCTCGTCCCATTCTTCGCCTTGCGTAACCAATACAACGTACACCATTCGCAGATGGCATAAATGTTCGATAGAAACGTTCTGCTGGACTAATCTTTGGAACTGTAAAAAAAAAAAAAAAAACACTTTTTTAAAAGACAAAATAAGAAAAAGACAATCATATCAAAAGCAACGAAAGTTTATAATCTCTACCTTCCGGTGGATTCGAGAATAAACTGGACCGATATATGCATCCACGTCGTCTCTTAAATGTGTATCGGCCATCCAATGCTGCTTCTGCGTTACGTTCCGCATCACCTGTTGAAACCGTGCTTGGAGATGCACCGGCATTCAGTACATTCGCAGCAGTTGCTGGCTTATTCCACAACTGAACTTTTAAATAACTATCACTGTCATTTAATTACATTACTTAGTAATTTTTGAACATTACCTACTGCAATGAATTCATTTCTCGCACTAACAACTTAGATTTCTGAATCCTTGAATTACCTCTATTCTCAAATCAAATATTAATCCTACCTCTGCGTTTCTTTTCAACCACGCCCGACTGACTAGATCTTTATCCGTGTCAGCTATTGAGGTTCTGGAATGTCGTTTCCGCTTCTGCCCTTTGATTTTTGTTGGTGATATACTACTTGGCAATTCATCCTGAAAAATGAAAACATCAAATCCATAAGAACACGACTGATGAGTATAACAAAATCAAATTCTCACGTTTCTTTGACAAAATGCGCCAAAACGCAATTAGCAATCATTTCGCAACATGCACTACTGTCAAGGAAAGTGTATTCCTGGAATATAAGACACTAAATGCTAACCTGCGACTCCTCCGTAGGACTCATCGTCGCATTTCGTTCTAATTTCACTTTAGACAATATATGGTTGTACAGAACACAACTGAAGTCACAAACAGTCCATCGACATTTGCAGATTTTGTCATCTAGCCCTATGACAGTCTGTTTGGTGTGTTCCCTGAAATTATTCATAAGTCCAATTCATAAAATTTGGATTCCATAAAAATCCGCTTAGAATTCTGGAAATACAGTATGACAAAAATCTGATGTTTGTTTACCTTCGCCTAAGCATATCGAAGAGGATGACAACCCTGCTCAGATCGTGGCCAAGTTTCAGTATCTTTTCATATGAATCTTCATCATTTTTACGATTTTTTCTAGTCTGCATTCTTTCCAAACGCCGCCGAAAAGCAACATAAGCAATATCTGAACCCGAAGCATCTCGGCGTGTATCCGTTTTTACCCGTGGTATCAATGAGGCAATCTTATGCGATGCTGCTGCATCCTAGAATATATTACAATTTCACAAAAAATTGTGTTTGCTTTCAAGCACTGTATTAACACAAATGACTAGTGAAACCACAAAATTCTGCTTTCCGATTTATAGTTTTGATTATTCCAAGATCTGAAGGAAAAACTAGCCTTGCGTTTTTGTAACCAGTAATCATAAACATCATCAACGAGATCTGTTTCGAAATCTTTGAGCAAAGACCGCGCCTCGTTAGGCTGACATATTTGCAAACCGCTGCTGGCACCTTCCAGCAATTCCATCATCTTTTCGAAATCACTCTCTGCAGTAAATCCCCCACGTTCAGCCAACCATGCTTCATCCTCGCTATCGATATCATAATCAGGCTCTTCGTTTCCAAGCGACAATGAAGCTGTAAACAGCACCGGTTAGTATGAGCTGATTAATGTCAAAAAAAAAAAAAACAATAGTCCTTTCAAAAGGAAAGATTTGGGAAGCGAAATTCATAGACAGATAACATGTTTCGCTTAATTTGATGTTCTCTTCCTGGAAATGATGAAAACAGTTTCGGATTTGGACAAATGAAGATTTGACCAGATCAAAAGATAGAATCAAATATTAACAATTATGTCAGGCGATAGCCAATTACCTAAATAGTCAATATCAGGAGATAAGTACAAGCTCTATATAAATAATACAATCACGAATGAATTTTTTATATGCAACAAGTAGGGCATTTACAAAAAACTCGCACTTGGGGAAATTTAGTTCTTACTTAACGACAGTTGTGAAACATTCTCTTTCCACAACATATGGGAACCTTGGGAAAAATTAATGTTGTATCTTGTTTCATATGATTGGATCTGACCTAAGTGAGACGAAAAAGTAATTTTTTCAACATAAAGTTTTTCACCGCCGCAAAATTCATCTTTGCTCGCTAATGATTTTTTTCATTAAAATTATGATTCACTAATAACCTCTACAGCAAATACCAAACTAACGTTACTTCCGCCAAATGAAGATAAAAGCATATGTATTGATGTTTCTTCGGTTATACTTCACACCCACCACCTAGAGTTCACACTTTTCAAATCAGTCCTTAACTCCAAGTAATAATACCAAGTAGTAATACATTACCCTAAAAGTTTGAAAGGGTTATTCACAATCTACTTAGAAATCTGACTTAGACCAGGCTTCTTCAAGTAGGAATCCTACCGAAACAGTACAGCTCATTTTCTTACGCGTTAGGCTTAAATAATGCACTTCCCACTCGTGAGGGATCCAAAAATGTCCACTGTACTACATTCCCCTTTTAGGAATCAGCAAAAACTTTATGAAAGGTTACAGTAAGAAATCTCAGCCTTTAATCTTCAAAAAACTTCAATCAAATTAAAATTAATGAGATTAACAATCGATCTGATAAGAGATGCCGGAAAAAATTTTTATGATTGAGTTCATTCATTAATAATCAAGGAACCACGAAGAAAATTTGTCCACCATTTTCACTATAGAATATAATCCAGCAAAATCTTACTAAATATATTATTTAATAACTGTACAAACATTACATCTAATGTATGGAATTCAACAACTATACGTCCTATCGTGTCACGTAAATTAGTCTGTTGGCGCTTATTCACTTCGGTATTCAAAAGGACACGAAACTACGTTACAAAAAAAAAAAAAACTATGTCTGGCTAAGAGAATTTAGTTTTCTCCTTAAAATCACTTCTTATTTCAGACCAAAAAGAACCTTGGGAGCTGAAAGAAATGCCGAGTTTATTTAGAGAAAAATATTTCAAGTAGAGATGAAAACAACATAAATATAACAGCAATATGGTACTGCCAAGATGTTTTCAGACAAAATTCAATTCATGTAAATTTGAATTCATAAAGAAGCGAGGGCCGAAAAAGAGATTTAGAAACTTGAACTAAATTTAGCTGAAAAGTGGAAAAGACTAGGATTCGCTAATTCTCAGTAAGACCTTTCCTCTTATCCCACGAAGAAACTCCTCTAAGGCAAAGAAAATGCTAAAACCTTTCCATTTCTTTTTCTTCGGAGAACGAAATGCTTTCAGTTTTTATAGCTGATCATAAATTCGTTACCAAACAGAATTTGAACCCATCTTTTTCCTAAGCTTTTCCCAGACAGAAATTAAAGTGCATAGTAAAAAAAAAAAGGTTCTTTCGTATTTGCTTATTGTATGTACTTTCATTACCAAATACTGAGCACAGAATGTACCAATGCAAAGCAAAGGCACAGTTCATGCATCAAAAATTTGAAAAGTTCTGAAAGTGAAATTTCCAACTGAGGAGACGGGCAAAAGTACACAACAAAATTAAAGAATAGGAAAAATGGTAAAGCCGAAACATTCGTACCTTGTACTTTGATGAGCTGATTGATAGATGGTGCTGGTTGTACTGGATATAATGCATCATAGTATCCGCAATCGACAGTAAAAACTTTTGGCGTTGGTATGACATGATTTTCTACAGCAATACCCGATGTACTGGCCTGCTGCGCAAGGATTGCCTCTTGCAAATGAGACTCCTAGAATTTACAACGTCAAAATTCAGAATCCAATCTGACAATAAGAAACATAGGTAATAAAACTTGAAAACAAAAAATTACTGCAAAAATTTCCGGAAGAGCGAACGAAACTCTCAACTACTCTGAACAAACGAATCATAAAACAACCCTTAAGATATACTGAAATTTACACTTCAGAAATGCGTTTCATTCTAAACATGTCTGCAGCAAAAAAATAAAGCATCCACCCTATTTTTTAGACAGGATTCTGCTGATATTTGTTGGAACTAATAACTGTCACGGCTAAAGATTAAAATTGGTCATGGTAAACTAAGTACTACATGAAAAAAATTTAACGAAATTTCAAAAAACCACACATGTTGAGACATTAACGAGCAATATAAAACAAACTCAGCTTAATCTCCACTGCAATCCCACATGTCGAACGGCAGGAACACTTATATATGTTAAAAAGGAAATACATGCTCGTTAGTAAAAAGAATTCTAAACCACCAACAGTTTAATAACATTAACTAGAAGTCCATCGGAAAACATGATTATATCTAATAAGCCGTGAGTCATCATCACTACGACCTGACTTTCTAAACTGTTAGAGACAGTCCTAAAATGAACCTCAGTTGCTTAAAAAAGTTTATGTAAAGTGAAAAATACTAGAAATATTTTATTAACATGAGCGGTACCTACAATTGAATTTCTAGTTATGCCAAAACTATTTTGGCAATTTTCCTCCCGATTTGTGTTCGACGATATTTTGAAAGTATCACCGCATTAAATCTCAGCTGCTGACTCACAGTCTTCATTCTACCTTACTTCAATAAATTCATTACTGAATGTAATCAAGAGCACAAAATACTTCTATTTTGAAATATTTTATTCTCTAATGCTATAATTGTTGCTGTTGATATCGGGCTTTTACAATCGACCTTGCATTATTACAGCATTCCTGATTACCATCAGCATCAGGTGATGGCTGACCTCTAAACACAACCATTTGTGACCGACGTATCTATGCGCTCCTTGTCCCCTCTACATCATACCTCGCCCATTCTGTTCTCTTTGATCTCTCATAATTTCATCTACTCTTAAGTTCTACACACTACGATACTTATGCATAAAAGATCGAAGGCAATCTGGATGGCCCAGTAAGCAAACAGATGGTTGAAGAAAAGGAAAAATCAGGAACAGATGTACTGCAACAAAAGTTACCCACTGCTAACACTGCTGGCTTTCCTCCCTGCAAAATAGCAACCTATAAACCATATTACTACACTCTCTACTACTGGTACAGATTGACTGAAATATATGGTCGAAGATATTTTTACCAACTTAAATGAAAACCAAGGGCTGAACTAGTGCTAAACAAAAAGACCCGAAATTAAAATTGAATCAATCAATCCAATTTTAAAAAAACAAATAATGGGAAAATGGAGCACGAATTGCTTAAATGAAATTAAAAGGCCTGATGAATATAAAGATTGCAAACTGCAGCTATCACATTTTTTAAGAGGAATCTTCAATAGTAATTTGATTGCAAATCTAATCTAATAAACATGAGGGATTTTTGATTGTATTGCGGCAGACGTGTATTTCACATCAAAACAGCCGCAATTTTGATGTGGAGTACACTTCTACCGCAATGCAAGGTGAAATCTCCCATGCCTACGGATTGCAATCCACATTACATCATCATTACCTAATAAAAAATGGTGCCGGTAAGAACAGGTGATATTAAAGTGGTATTAAAAATGACCCAAAATCGGGGAAACTAGAGCCTTCTTCCGACATCTGTCATAGTATGGAACAATATGCAAACAGTTTACGAATGATTAATTTGACAGTGTGAAATGCCTTCCGCAAAAGAATTTTCAAATACGAGAATTTTGCTACAAAACGTCATTTGTTAAAATTGTTTAGGGATTAACATGCAAAAGTTAAAAATCCTTCTATCTAATAAAAAATGAATTGAAGATTAATGAAGCTGTCTCTCAAGTTAAAACAGTATAACAACAACGTAATATATCATTCGTTCGAAAAAAGCTATCCTTCAGACTTTAAACATATTGAAAATACCATCTATTTATATTGCATGACAGTGGGATTCCAGTGGTAGAAAAAAACGAAAGCAATTATTGTACTAGCATTACAATTTGGAGTGGATGAAAGAAGCTTGAGAATAATGTAAGACACAATATCAATGATTTTTTAGGAGGAAAAAAAATAAAACTTCCAATTTCCTTTACTGCTATTTTCTGATTAATGTTATATAGAGAAGTCTTTCAGTGATGTAAAGTAGTAGTATAAAGTAAATCCTGGAAAATCAGCTTCATGCGATAAACAATGATATCAAATACTACACGGTAAGAATATTTTACACTAGACACTCTCAAAAAACTCACTACAAAATCCTCAAACTATTTCACTTATACACTCCCGCCATCCCCGTCAATGCTTGCTATATAATAAAATCCGTAAAGAAACTGTCTTTATAAAATCCATAAAAATCCTAGGAACTTCCAGTAAATTCTAAAATTAACTCTACAATATTGTATAGGTTAGCCAATCTACCAAACGCAACTGACTTTAAGATGTGAATTCCTCTAAAGAGCTATTATGTTAAATGTTTCTTTAATCTTTCCGCCGTTCTCTTCGAAGACTAGCCAGATGACTTACAGTCCTGTTCAAGAAAAGAAGATAAAAGTGTCATAAATCATTTTTATGATAATGATAAATCTCCAAGACCCAATAAATAATTTCGTAGCAATTCTAACAGTTAGTGACAGAGAATTTTAAAATTCCTCATTTTACAGGACCTAGAAAACCATTAGATGTCATGAAAAAGAAACGATAACAGACAGTAAAACAGAAAAAAATAGGCGAGATTATTGGTTGTTGCAAAATGTTCAAATTTAACTGTTGTAAGAGAACAGTTAGTTAATCGCTGTTAACTGAGCAGAGGGAAAAGGAAGAGATGTTGGATTATCTATACGGCAATTGCTAAGCTAACAAGCGCACTAGAAAATAGTACAAGAGGGAGAGAAAATCAGACAACTCTTTGAAGCAATAAAAGTAGCATGGAAGTGTTTGATGTGGGAGAGGAAGAGGGCACCTACATTTTCTTCATCTTTTTCCATACCCGTTGGCATTTGTGCCACTGCCCGATTGATCGGTGTACATTCAGCCAGGTCGGGTAATTCATCAGCGCAATATACGGGCATTGATTTCGTCGCATCCAAATTTCTTGCCCGAAATGACAGCTTACTCGTTGTTGCCATTATTGCGATGTTATGTATTATTGCTACCGCTCCTTTCCTTCTATCCTGTTTAGGCCAAATCCAAATAGGCTACTAATGGTGCTTTTCGTAGTAATAATAGTAGTGGTAGCGGAATATAACGCGACCAGTACCGCCGTTAAATACAGTTGCTGCTGCTTGCTTATGCAATAAATTTAGATAAACTTCCTTGGCGGCTCGCAACCGTGTATCGGGTGGGTAGCAACAGCAGCAGCTGCTGCTACTACTACACCTTCAGGCACCGTTCAACCTATTATTATAACGAACTGAAATCAGACGAACAACATCACTCCCGGACCTTTCGGCAATATAACAATACAACTGCATGAATTTAGAAAATAGCATAATATTAATCGTGTCTCATGAAACGCCAAATATGCCTACACACGTCATAAATAAAACATCCTCCGCGATATGGCGGGGAAGTGGGGCTTCTCCAAACTTTCCATTTTACTTCCTCCTTCTCTCTCTCAGAACAAATTCAACGGCAGAAATACGACTACTACGACAACCAAAACGCTCAATATTTGACGATATCGTCGGTCTCCCGCTGCAATGTGCTGCAGCATACATGTATGTGTGTGTCTGTGTATGTGTATATATGTATGTGTGTGTGTGTGTATATGTGAGTATGCCAAAAGTATAACCGCGAAGAGTGTGTCTATAACTGCTGCCGGCGGCAATGTCCGGGGAAGGGAGCGCCCTCCCGAAGAGACGCAATCCATCGAATGTGCACACAGACATGGAGGAAGTGTACCTTGTATGCATTGGAGGAAGGCGGGGCGCACTCAATCGATCGATTGCGACGAGACTTTAATAAATGGCGAGAGGGATGACAGACAAAGGGTGCGTAGCAAGCAACACAACAAATGTCGCGAGGAAAGACAATGAAATCGGAGGAGAGAGTAGCGCGCCATACGGTTTGTAGAGACAGTGTGCGGAGTGAGGAGAGAAGAGGTGATACATTAGTGCGACTCACAGCACGAAACATCATCTCAACAAAATTTCCATCGCTGAGAGTGGGGGACCGTCTCTCTCCCCGGGAAGGACGCGCCATGAACCTCCCGCTTGGCTCGTCCGCCAACAGGCAACTACCGACACACACACACACACACCCTCCCAACCGCCTCCACTGCACGCACAACAAATGATATGATGACGACGGAGAGCAGCTATGAGTCATCCACGTGCATACACACACACACACACACACACACACACACACACACACATACACACATACACCTGTCGTTAGGGATGCTTAGCAGGGGACCATATAATTGTAGAAATTTTCTCCTTGAATTATCAACGAAATAGTTTATAATTTGTTGAAAGGAGCAATTCTATCATGCAGAAAGGAGAACATAAAAGTGGGACATTAAGTCTCTGGGAAGGACATTAATGATTAGAAAGAGTCCTACTACTGCAACTTGACAAACATCTATCCTATTTCCAGGGACCGTATAATTCCATTTTTAATTCATATTCTAAAAATAAAATTCGCTCATATTTATGCTTCTGTTGTAACATATTTATGTTCACTAAAAATTAAAATTCTCGATGAAAATATAAAGCTTTCTTGGATTACAAGAGAATTAGAGCACTGCCAGTTTATAAAAACTAAGCATTAAAATAAGATGGAACTGCACATTTTGGGAAAAAAAGAAAGACTTCTTGAGTTCCATAAATAACTTAAGAAAGTCATAAGAGGTCATTTTGAACAAATTAATATAGATTTCATAAAACACGTCGAAATAATATAACTTCCAATTTAGACAATGAGAATAATTCTTTCTGGGTTACAAATGTAAGCAATGTTCCCATCTAAATCTAGATTACTTATAATATTATTCTTAGAATGAAATTAGAGGAAAAGAAACAAATGTAGTGAAAACGAATTGAAAACGAAAATTTAGCTTCTACAATTAATCTAATCTCACTGCACGAGCATCAAACCCATACATGTCTACTATCCATATCAAACCGGAAACTTAACAACAACTGTTACAATCTTGAAAAAACTCCGGGATAACAGATTTTTTTTTATCGACTAAGTTTGATTACTGAAAGGATTTACAGTCATATAACAATATTACTGAGAGACTATATGTTCTTTAAATCTTGATCAAATGATAAGCTAAAATGAAAAAAAAAAAAGTAGAACTATACTTTCAATTTGCAAAAACATTGTAAGATAAATTGTAACATCACAAAGAGAAGATTTGACTTGACCAAAAAAGTAAACTGCATATTCATTAGTTTTTCTTTACCAGACGACATTCACCAAGATAGCATCATCAGTTCTGTTTATAGTTAAAAGAAAAACTTACTCGTCATTCCTATGAAAGATTTAAATATTCGGAAAAAATAAATCCATAACTTCCGAATATTGTCAAAAAGGAAAATTTGCCAGAACAGATCCATAATAACAAAGAATTCTAATCGGTTGTTCAGTACTATTATACAGCACATAATTCATGAAATAATCCATTTTCTCGTCGTCTTAATGGCAATAATATCCAATAAATATGAAATGCAATATACTGTATGATATTTAGTCCCATTATCAATAAAGATGTTCACAGGGTGAATATACGGCAATCAGAAATACTAGCACTATAACTGTCGTGATCTGAAATTCAAAAATATTATGAAATCGAAAAACCAGAAATACTAGTAACATAACTATAACGATCTGAAATTCAAAAGTATTACAAAGCCGAAAAACCAGAAATACTAGTAATACAGGTGTAGCGATCTGAAATTCAAAACATAAAACCGAAACCTGGATGTACAACACAAAGGAAATGAGATTTCTGGATAGGAAAATTTCTGACTTTCCTAATTTCAAATTCTAAAAAAATTAAAATAGTCGAAGGAATTAAGTGAAATAGAAAGAATTTTAATCTTATATACTGATTAGTACTGTAAAACTATTAAACTTCACTCCTGAATCAAACGCAGCTTCTTATATGACACAGTTAAGCACCTCAAGCAACTCTTCCAAAACATCAATAAAGAAACAACACATATTAAGTAAACCAATTCTACAAACTCAGCTAATTTACTGATTATCACTCCGCTGCGATGATAAGACATATTCTTAGTGATTTATTTATTATGTGAGCAACAAACTCCTTCCCGGTATTATTAGACAAGTAGGCAGTAAGGCATTCTGATAATGACTTAATTTTAGGAAAGCTTTAGAAACATCAACACCAACAGAACTATAATATATCGACTTCTCCAAAATTTCCAACTTTTCCATAAATCCAAAAAGGGCACAATATCTAAAATATATGAGCTCCTCTACAAAGATAGATTGCCAGATTCTGCTTCTTAAATTATAGGATTCTAGAATGCAAAAAAATTACTGAGAGCGGTAATAGACATTAACTAGCACTTCCAATTTTGACTAAAAATTTTAGCGAGTAAAATACGACAGATGAATAAATGGAGTCATGTGCAAATGGTTAAGGAGTTCAGGACAGGCAATTTTTTACAGCTAACTTTACACAGTCCATTACAACTAGTCGATGCTCATCGAGAACTGGTTCGATGATTCAAGATATATGCACCGCCTGTTATGCATTTTTCGTGAAAAGACTGCATCGCAAAACGATAAAAAAACAAGCATCATAAACATGACTCGTCTCATATAATCTGTAAATTCAAACAAAATTCGAAAATACGTGGGCTATGTGCAGAAAAAAATCACAAAGAATCCAAATGAAATTAAATGATCATATTACTTATGGTAGTTAAACTGCTATAAATCAAACAAACATGCTCGTAATCCATCTTCATGCTCCGTTACAACTATAGCGGCACTCCTGAAAAGGATTTTACAAGCTGAAAATGCTGAAATTATTATGAAAAAAACACGACAACATAACAATCAATACTTAGCTGCTGGCTTATCTCAACTCTGTCTTCAACACTAAAATACATTAACTTAAGAGTTTCAAAATATTCGACCAATAACGGTCATTTCCACTTTTTCTAAAGGAATTCAAATCAATGTTTTGTCGATTTCAATCAAAACAATAGTGGCTAGAGAAACAGATTACAGTATACTGAATAGGCATACAGATAATTTAATTGGTAGAAAAAAGGAAGTCGGAAGAATCAGAGTTGTACTTTTGAATCTGAAATTGTGATAATCTTCAGTGTTTACGTATCAGTTTGAACAGTAATCTCTCAATTCAACAGTATGATTAACCACATTCGACAGAATGTTTTCGTTCAAAGGTTAACGCATAATTATAAAATCACCTTAACATACGAATCTTAAGACATTTTACAATTACAATGGTTTCGTATCAATCTTTATTGCTTTCCGGAATCAGAAATAGGTCTTCTGTTTGCTTGGCTTGCAATGGCAGGCATTTTCCACTTCACTCTGAAATAAAAAAATACTGGAAGAAAACATTGAAGATATGTCGTGTTGACTTCAATTCAACCGATATCATTAAAAAGTAAGATAACGACAAATAATATGGCAGTAACTCATTACTACGTCAGAGCAGTCTAAAATTACGTAATTAATCATTGCATATATTATTATCATAAGAGGATTGGATAACTTTGAGAATAGTTGCACTACTAGTAATCTACACAAACTAAAATGTTGTCCTCGTCCTCTCATTGAATCTGATTAACAGGTAAACGTGTCAACTGGATGATCGGGTAGTGAGACAAGGAGTTGATAAAAATAGTCCATGAGGCAATTATTTGATCTATTAAGGCTGAAATGTTTGTAGGAAAAATATACCGGAATAAATGACAACATTGCAAGGAACCGTTTCATTATCCGGTACGAAGAATAAAAGGAGAGGTGACCTATCGTCATTACTGATCAAAGTGATATTCTCATATCAGCAGCACCCACCCATCCATCCATCCATCAATCTATCTACACCATCTCCTCAATCAAGTCTTCTCCATTGATTTCATTTGGATCACTCGATCAGTCGGTCTGTCGGTAGGTCTATCGGTCGATTCGTTGGCCGCTTGGTCGTTATCGTTGTTGCGCTCCTTTTTCTGTTGCTTTCCTCCTGAGATAGTGGCATACTTACATACCCATACAGACACACACATAACATACATACACACACAAACACACATCACGCTCACATGCAAACAGGAGCACACACATATACACACACACCCAAACATATTAGTATTGTATGTGTGTATGTTATTATCGTGTTTGTATGTGTATGTGTGCGTATGTGCATCTACCCCACTATATGTTAAGGAGAAGAGAGACAGACAGACAGACACACAGACACACACACACACAGGTACACCTTCATTCACAGCAAGCCTCAAAGCTGCACTTTCAAATCGCAACTTGACTGGATGGTTTGTGTCAAATCCAATCATAACACACCACTATCTCGAGCACTTCTTGCATAACTTGCGTCTCGTCTGGTTTGTATATGAAAATGCAAGAAAATCCTGAAATCATAGAGTGATTATATAATTTCTAATTCCGGAAATGAAATGGAAAGGAACAACAGGAATAAATGCAACTTAGCACTATGAATTTTTTTTTTTTTTATAATTGATCCATTCTTAGCATTGGCAAAGCATTTAAGATTGTCTAAAACGATCAATGAGAAATTATCATAAATCTCGGATAAATGTTAATTTAACCGGATTGTTACACTCTCTCTAAAGAATACATTCACTCCTGTATTGGGCACAAATCCATGTCTTTCATCTAAATGACGAATTTCTCCATTGAAATTTTTAGGACACCATATATCAGGTTACTCAGGAATTTTCAGTAATATCTCTCCTAAAATTAATGAATTATTGTAGCAAATTTAACATAAGAAGACCGCAATATACCTGATCATCCTTTTGTTCCTTATTTGTAACCATGTGAGGTACCATTATGTTTAGAAGATATACCAAATATAGTAAATTTTGCGCCTAATTTCTTGGAAATAAATTTACAAAAAAAAAGAAAAAGCATAACTTACTAACCTAAATTTCAATTAAAGTTAGTTCATGAAGGCACTTATCAACAGCAGCATTAAACCATTTACAAATCATTCGAACTGAATCAATAGTGAAGGAAAGAAGAGGGCGGGTTTTGTAAAGAGAAGACAACTCCGCGGGATTATTAATTTTCATGGCGATGTGTTTGATTCACAGCACAATGTGTTGAAATGGCATTTCAGACCGTGTTTTTGGCGCTTCTGTCGCATTCTCATCCGCATGTTACATATTTGTTGACTATATAAAAATATTTTCACTAATTATAATTACAGAAAACAATTAGTTACATAGTATTCTGATAAAAAAGGACAAACTGTTATTTTTGACTGTAAAGATATCATTATTCATTCTCGCTGTTTTAGAGATGGAAGTAAGAGAGATGGATGATGGAGATGAGGAATTACTTAATGAAGAAGACATTATAAACATTATTCCACTGCATGATACCATGAATGGCTCCTCAGAAATATCCGATACAACATGTGGCGTTTCAGGGATTGATGGTACGATAGATTGGCATGTTTTTTTTTTTCATTTCAGAAAAAGCATTCTATGTTAATTCATTTGCCTGGGTAGTATCAGTATGAACTTTTTTTTTTTTTTAATAATAAATTTTTTTTAATTTTTTTCTTTTAATCTATGTTTTTGCTTTTAAACATATCACATATATCATAAAGCTTTTTTTTAAAAAAAAAGAGAATATGAAATTGTTTTGCAGTTAATGAAAAATTTAGATGAAGATATGGAATTAGCTGAGAATGGTGATATAGAAATGAATGGCGATGAAGAATTTTCAAATGCAATAACGGAAGCTGATAATGTAATATCGGCATGCAAAGATGAAGCTTTTGTTGTCACATGTTTTCAAGATCAGTGGCTCGCTGTTGGTGGAAAAGATGATCAAGCCGTTTTATACAATCTGCAAAGTAATCCTACATTATCAAGTTAATTAGTTTTGAGCTGCTTTCAATTTTTGTTTTTACTGATCTCTTGCATTTTTCTTTCCTTCATTGATAAGCCAATTTTGTATAATAGAGGTAAACTCCTTAACGTCTGTAATCAAATTACTGGTGAATAGTTTTGGTTCTTTTTGTAACTTTTCCAGAAATTTTGTGAATAACTTCGTTTGGTTTCGGAGACTATATACTAAATACAATTTGTATTCTTTGTAAAATACGTGTTGATGTAATCCTATATGTTTTCCACTTGTCACAATTAATATTTTTAAGGTTTGGAACTAGTTCTGAAGATTGATGAACACAAGGATAGTGTAATATGTGCAGAGTTTAGTGTTGAGGGGCATCTGTTGGCCACTGGTGATATGAGTGGCCTGATTGTATTAAGCAATACCAAGAACCTAAAACAATGTTTCTTAGTAAGTATTGCTTAAGCTTTGTAATCAGAAGATATTGCCCAACTTTTTTAGACTCACTAACGTAGAAGAATTCTTTTTCATTACTTCGGTATTCTTCCCCTTTTTTTAAAAAATGGAAGCTTAGTTTATATCATCTCTGACGGAAAGGAAATGTAAAGATGGGTTTTCTTTTCTTTGGAATAAAAGATTCTTAGCTTCATTTGTTTAATTAATCGTTTGTTTGACATTACGTCCGAGTTCTTTTGGTGCCAGTAGCCAGTTTAAAATAACATGAGTATTTAATTTAAAGATTGATGATTGTGAAGAGTTATCATGGATACGGTGGCATTCATCTGCAGATATTTTGCTTGCTGGTGGTAAAAATGGTGTTTGGATGTGGCTTATAACAAACGATAGTGTTCGACAAACAAAGGTTTCTATTATTTTTTTTTGTCCTTATAGCACTGTTCATGTGCATTTAGCGCTTCACTTTTTTTGTTTAGTGGACCATTAATATTTGTGATTAGAATTATTGCAAAAATATGTTTTTGTATTTGAAAGTTCAGGTGTACATGTGTAATTCACCTACCACATCTGTTGACGGCAAACTGCTTAGTGATGGAAAACGACTTCTTTCTTGCTATGAGGATGGTTCTGTAAAATTATGGTCTCTAAAAGATCAAACATCAGTTAGCATTGTGACAGGGGCTGAAAGCTCTACATGTATAGATGTTCACCATAGTTCACCTGTGGCAATTATTGGAGATCTTATGGCACGTTGTTATTTTGTGAATATAGAATCCGCCAAGATATTAAGGATATTTGCAGTGGTTGAAGGAGTTACGGTAAAGATTTTCTTTATATTGTTCTTACTTTTTTTAGTAATATATTGTTATTCTAAAAGCGCTCGTTTTCACAGTGTGTTAAATTTTAAGTAATTGGATTTACCAATTTTCAGTCTTTCGAAGTAACAATCGAATGCGTGAAATTTTGTCCAACAAAAGAGCCGTGGTTCGTCGTTGGTACTAATTCTGGACGTCTGGCAATATATGATTTTAGTGCGAACATTTTACGCCATATTTTGAAAGATGATGCTGATCCGGTAGTTACTTGTCGATGGTACATGAGAGATTCGAATGAGATGTACATTATTGGTGCTGGTTATAGTGGTATGATTAAGATCTGGGATAGTCGAAGTGGATTACCCGTCTTAGTAGGTTCTTTTCATCATTATTTAGAAGCAGTCTTTGAGCTCACATAAGATGTCATTCTTGTCCTAAGAATCTAAGATTTGTGACTGAAATTTCATATATGCATACTCTGTGTTTTAATAGTGACAAGTGCACTAATTGTTGTGCCTTTATTATGGATTGTTGTCCAGCTGTTCATATTTCTTTCATGAAGGGTATTTATCGTTCTGGAATATATATCTTACCATGTTATATTTAAAAATGAAACATTGTACCGGAAATTATTCACTTTTTTCATGACATTCTTAATAATTTTTCAACTAGAAATTTGGAATTTCTGCATTGTTTTTCATATTTTCAGAAACCTGCATATATTTGGATATGACTTTTAATGTTTAATTTTCTAACTGAAAAATAAATGATTGTATTTTTTCCAGGTAATGCTGTCACAAAGTATTGCTATGGAAGGTTCTCATTTGCTCTCAATGGATTTGTCTGTGAAAGGACCCATTTTATATGCGTCATATAGTTCTGGACAACTTTGCAAATTTTCTTCTATAAACCGGTGAAATCACTCTATTCGGTGGTCTTATTTTAGAACCTCACTGTTTTTAACTAGTTTAAGATTTGGAAAATCAGAGTTATTTTTAATTGTAAAACAGAAAAACCCGTTTAGACTCGAACGTGTTTTATAAAGTTGAGGATCTAAGAATCAACGAGGTCCTGCCTTCCATTTCCCTTTTTCATTTGTTATTGTTATATTATATTTAATGAATAAAGATTCCTAGAGTTTGCGAAACTTCTATGATTCGATATGAAGGAATCGTTGCATATATATATTTTTTTAAGAGTCCCAGATCTTATATATTTATTTTGTCGTAATTATCGTTGTTTTCCATTCTTTTCTTTTGCTCAACACGCGATCTCTTTGTATCGTATGTTTCATAATTTATATTAATATATTATCGTTTTGATAGTGACTTTAAATTTAAGTTTCAGATGTCTTACCAATTATATAGATCGACAACATTGGGGATAGCTCTTCGAAGTACCTTAGATGAATTTGTCGAGGTGAACTTCTATTATTTTAATTTTCTGTTATTTTTTCTCGCGCAAAAGTGATTCCGATTGTGCTGTTTCGACATAACTATTATATATCATTCATGATTGCAGGACGGTACAATTACACCTTCCCTAGCTCAAACGGTACTGACAACTTTCGACAAATGTATTAACAGGGCATTATCCCAGCGAGTTAAAAATAAGGTTAATTTCAAGGTGAGTTTTAGTCTTACTCAACATCTTTAAAATCCCTTCATGAAACATGGTTTCCAGATGAAAGGCAAGCGGTACTTTCTTATTTGGTCATAGGTATTTAACCTTATTTGTATTGGCATTTTGATTTCCTTGAAATTTTCCCGCGATCAAGATATCGTAGGAATCTTTTTTTTTTTTTTGTCGAGTGTTTCCAGTCGAAAGGGAAAAAATTGAAATGTAAAATTAGGAGTAAACGATTGAGATGGATAAATAAGATTAAAATTTGATTAACATGTTTATAAATTGATTAAAGAACGCAACATTAGTGCCTATGTTGTACCTTAGGATATGTTAACTGTTTCTGGGGAATGGAAAAGTGCTAGAGGAAATAAAAAATATGGAGAGAAGGAATTTTTTCACATCCATCTTTCTATTTTTCATTACAGGCTGACAAACTAAAAGCATATCGATTTTGTGACAATGTTTGGACATTTGTAATGGAAAACGTTGAATTCCGTGATGTGACACAGCCGGTAGACGGGGTTGTTGACCGTGTTAAAATAGTAGCGTGTGATGCAAGTGCCGCAAAACTAGCCAACACGTAGAACATTTAGGAGAGGACATTTATACACTGTATAATGCTTTATATTGTCTTGTCTGAATATACTATATTAGCTGATGTTAAAAAAAGAATTGCTTAAATGAAGCCATATTTAGGGTTTAGCAGTATGCACCGTTTCGTCATTATATGATCTTTACATGTTAAGGCAGACCTAGTTGATAGTTACGTTCGAAATGACATGGGAATTTATAAAAATAGTTAAATATATAATAGAAGGAAAAAGAGGTTTTCAGTTAGCTACTTATGACAATCTGTTAAGTTCGATTTTCAGTATGATTGACACTTCTCGTTATCACTTTCTCTAAACATCTTTGCTGATATTGTCCTTTTATCTACAGTATTGTATTACAGGGTATAAAAAGTGATAAGACAAACAAAAAAACTGACTACATGTTGTTTGTATTCATCTTATTAATATGAAATATTTTGACACCTTAGAGAAATGTATTGTTTTTCGTGTTATGACAGCTTAGAGGAATGTATTATTTTTCGTGTTATTTTTTAGAGATAATAGTTGTTTGAAAAGTTTTAATAAGCAGTGTTTTGGGTAGCAAATTTCCCTACTGAGGTTTTTTTTTTTTTGCTTTAGCAATACTTCTGTATTCAATTGAATTTTCCAAATGAGAGTCTTTTTTGACTTTCTGTGGGGATTTTTGTGGTTTTATATGTTCGAAATGTATTAAAAAATTTTTCTGCATCGTGTATTGTGTTGTATTCACTAGTCTGTGTTCAGCATTGACTGGATGTTGAGGTATGCTAATTACCATTTCAAAGGGATAACATATTTCGACGAATCACTAAAAAACTGAGTAGTGGCTAAGAGAAAATAATCCATTTGACTAGTTTTATTATCAAAGAGCGCAATTTGCTGAGTGGTTGTATCCATCACTGTTATATCCAGTCGAATATGTTAGTTGATGTGGTTTGAAATATAAGGTGTAGGTGAGAGGTTGAGGTTTGTTATTGGCAACTGATCGGGAGTAGAGGCTCACTGGAATTGTTATTTGTTTCTTGATGATTTACACAAGTGTTCCTTTCTAGAAATTTTAATGCTAATCGCCGATTGCTTTTAAATTCTTTTAAAAACTAGGAAGATCACTATCTGTAAGCAGCTTTCATTTATACAATTTCAAGAATTAATGTTAAATAAGCTGCGGAATTTATACATTGTGAACGATTAATCTAAGGTTAGTTACATTCTTCTTGTAACAGTACTTTGGTTTATTTCATTACTTTAATCATTGATTGAGGTTACATATTGTTTTTAAGATGCGTTAATTGGTAATCAAGATGAAGCTTAATTCATATGATCTCAGTCGAACGCTATTTGAAATAACTAAATTAAATATTCGAGAAAGTTTTATTTTATCAACCGCTTCTCTAAGTAGTCAGGTCTCTTTTCTCTCTGTCACACTACTGTCACATCACGTAAAACAGAGCTAATTAAAGAAAATCATTTCTTTGTTAATGTTATATTTCTTTTTTGGCAAACATTTAAAACAATATATTATTTTACAAAACAAATTTAATTTCGTTTAAATAACACTCTATGTAATTCTCTTATTGTATCTTTTCACAAAATATATTATTAAAATTGAATTAGCTATAAATAATTTACATTGAAATATTAAATTTCTGTCTTTTAATTTTCATTGAAGATAGAAGTATACTATATCATACGGATATAATTTGTGGATATTACGGCTCTTATCGATCTAATTTCATGGAATGTTTACAAAAATGTAATAATGCTAATATCTGAATGATAGCTTATCTATAATAATTTTCAGTTAGAATGCAACGTAAACTATTACATAATTTCGTAGCAAAAGAATTGTTAGAAAGTTGGATAAAAATTAAAAATTTTTTTTCTAAATTCAACTGAATCAATAATTTTTTGTCCATAGAAATTTGCATAAACAAATAATTATAAATAAAAATTTTTTTCTTATTATATTATAATGTCATTTATAGAAGTTACTTATTTTCTTTATACTTTTCTTTACCCTTATTAATGATACAATAAATTTCAAGTTTTTACATTTTCGAATTTTTTGATATTTATTTATTCAAAATCTTATAGAATATTGTAATTAAAAATTGGAAAAGTTAATTAAAAAACATTAGCCTTTTAGGCAATATCAATTGATTATATTAATAAGAATAAATATTTTTGAATTGAAAGTAAAACTTAAATAGAATAGAGTATGAAATTTTTAAATTTGAAAATTTTTATATCAAAAATTAATGTAACAAAATATTAGTTAATAGAAAAATTATTCATACAAGAATATTAAATATTATTTCTAAAATATCTATTTTAAAAATATTTTATCTAAAACATCTAATGAAGTACTTAATGAAGCACTGATGACACGGATAGCATTGGTGACAGTCAAATCTATCACAAATGCCGTAATTACTAACATTTCAATTTTATCTGCTTTACCATTAAGCGTAGTGTAATTATAAAGAAATATAGTGGCCTTATTGTCATGGAGACGTAAAGTGATAAAGAGAGAATCAATAGTAATCACTGTTGTCCTTTGAGATCAATAATTTCATTCATACTTATATTAAATATCTTTCATTTGATTATTAATGGAACAAATAATTTTGAGTTAAAAACTAAACTTAAATCAAGAATAAAGCATAAAAATTGAAATTCAAATAATTTTTCAATTCTATAATTAATTATAATACTGAATAAATCGTTTTGATTTTAATATTAATTACATTATTAGATTTTTATAAAATAATTTTATAAAATTTGACAAAAATTTTATAAAATTTATCAAGAAAATTGCCAGTGCTATTTTCAATTTTTATTTCTTTTCTAAATTAATTGGTGCAATATGTTGGATTATGTTTATTCAAACGTTCCAGTCATTTTTTCTTTTGCATTTCATTAAAGATGATTTTGTTAAATTTGATATAATTTTATAAAACAATAAAAACGTTTATCGAAAAAAATTTTCGGGAAAACAATGCTATTTTCAATTCTTCCTTGTTAAATTAAATTTTCATTTAAATTAAATTTTCAAAATTAAATTTCATTTAAATTAAATTTTCAAAGTTTGTTACATCTATCAAATCAAAACTAGCAAAATGATTTGAAATATTTTGGCTATCATTTCAATATCATTTTTCATTTCACATTTTTAAATCAACTAAACTCTTATATGCTTCTCTCTGACCCGTAACAAATAAAGTCACAAAGGAATAAGTGAGATGAGGAATAATTTAAAAAATATTTTTAAAAACTTCAAAAATGAGGAATGTAGCAAAGAAATTCGTTTCAAACGTAAAAACAATTTTATGTTTGCTTTCATCATTGTTTATTTGTAATTCAATCTCTCAATTTGCTCTCTTTTTTCCTTTTCATTGTTAAACATTAGACTGAAAACCACTTTTTTTAATTGAAACTTTTGAAATTTTTTCCGCATTTAAAAATTTGAGAGTTTTAGCGTTAACAGTACGACAAGAAAACGCCATGCTTTTTTTGATTAATTCAGCTATGCAATAAATTCGATGAAATTTCATTCTTCAATATTATAATAATTATAAGTGTGAGCGATCATAAAACTTAGAAACAAATATAAGCTAATATTTATAAGAATTTTAAATTTGTGATGAAATAAATTTGAATTGAAATTCGAACATAATTTAATGATAGTTTAAGACAAAAAAAGAATTTTGGAAGAATTTTCAAATTTAACAATGAAAGTAATTGTTTCTTTGAAAAGTTTGACAATTAATGTAAAAGGAAAATTATCGTTTTAAAATCGTCTACTAATGATGAAATTTATTTTTAGAACAAATAATATTTTTCTCAGAAAAAAAAAAACCAAAATATTGTTTTCCTAAAACTAAATTTTATCATTAGTGCACGATATTAAAAATTTTATTACCCATTTTTTTTTTTTATAAATTACTAAAAATGCATCTTCTATTCAACTAGATTTTTCCATTTACAATTTAATCATTTGCAGACATATAAATTATTGAATGTTTGAAATTTTATTATGCATATTTTAAAATGGTAGTGGGAAGTTCTGCCTAACTTTTTCTCATGCATTATCATATATGCAAATGTTATCTCCAATTATCTATCTGAACTAATCATTTTAACATTTCAACAAATAATACTATAAAATCGGATGATTCATTATCATTTGATGCATTAAAATCTCTCATATTCTAATGATCCAAATATGATATATTTGATAACTTTTTTTTTTTTTTATGATGATTAAATGACTGTATTTTTACTATGTTAACATTATACGAATTTTATTTGTTATATGTTTTCTTTTTTCTTTTATTTCATCCCATAATTTATATTATTTGAAAATAAAAGAGAAAAAAATTTAAATAAAATATGAAATTTACATTAATTATGCAAATTAATTTTAGAATATATTTTTGCGAATTAATTATTATTAAAATGTTTTCATTTTCAAATTTTCCAAATAAGTAGGATTTTTTTTAAACCTTTTCATTCTGTAGCAAAAATAAAATTCTAATTTTGAAAAAAAAAATTGAGTTAAAAATAAATTTAAAACGGATAAAATTCAAGCAAAAAAATTGGAATGTTTTTGCTTGAATTTTTTTTTTTTTTTGTTTTGCTTAAGGTTTTCTTAAATTTATAATCTGCTACAACAATAAAATGCTTTCGCCACATGCATTTCTGCATTCTGCTACTCGTCTTGCACCTCTTTTTTTTCTATTGACTGATCAGATGATAAGAATCTAAGGCAATTCATAGTACTAATTTCATGTTCTGGCAATTTTGCTTCATAATAGCATTATAACGCTGCATGCACGTCAACTGCATGCACGATGACTCATTTTCTAACTTACATATATTGTTAAAATGTCAAATAAGACAATGCATATTGTCTTTTTTTAGAAATGAAAACATTCCTACGCTAATGATAGCTCATAACCCACAAGAAGCGTTTATCGCTGTGATGAAAAATG